ATATATATATATATATATATAGTGTATGCTATGTATTTATATTTTAATTCTTTAAGAACATGTGCAGAAAGCATATATATTTAGATATAATATATTATGAAAAAATACACTCTAAAAAATGCTGGGTAAAATAGGGACAAACCAGCAATTGGGTTGTTTTGACCCAGAAGGTTGGGTTAAACATTTAACCCAACCGCTGGGTCAAAACAGCCCAATTGCTGGGTTTGTCCCTATTTTACCCAGCACTGGGTTGTATTTAACCCAGCATTTTTGAGAGTGTAATACTATTTTACAATATTTTTATTTTTATAAATGCAATACATTTACTAGACAATAATTTACTGAGAGCATTTAAATTGATATTCTTTGCCGATTTAGAAGTTTTACATTTGATGCAACTAAGCCGGTATGTTAGGTTAGATCCAGTTTAAGTACAGCAAAGCACTCAGCATTCCGTTTAGTTGCACTAAAGGGGCCACCGGGAGGCCAACTCCTATTTTGCATATGGAACACTGCCGCGTGGTGATGAATGGTAAGTTCAGCAGTACAGCACAGACGGTGTTCCATTCTCTCGCGGCCACTCGTATAAAGATATGTTCGTGCACTTATCTGCAAATACCAGTATCAGATTATTTATTTAGCTCTGTGATTTAGCCTCAACGATTCATTACAGAATCATTAGTTCCTTTAATCAGAATGAATGGAATGAAGGGCTATTTCCATCCTCTTGATTACAGATGCTGCATTGTAATCTATAAACGGAAACAAGGTTGAGAATATAGTTAAACCTATGATTAATTGTGCAATGTTGCCGATAGTCCTGAAATTAGTTAAGCCAGTGGTTTCAGACCCTCTAGGAACGGGGTTGAGAACCACTCAAGGCTACTAAGTTAGGCTACTAATTATATTGGGTCTAGATTGATTTATGCAGAATAACTGAGATTGGCCAAACTGAAATTGCTCAATTAGTTCAAATTTCAGCTGAAGTTAATATTTTTGAAAAGGTAGATTTTGCTGTTCCGTGCTTAGCTTATAAAATGACACACGGCGACGTCCTAATTAAACATAATTAATCAAAATGAGTTATCACCCACTCTGCCAGGGGCGGTGCCCACAAGCCTTGGCTTCTTCACTGCTAACGTTGCTGTAGTCCAATTTTGCACAAATGTAATAATAGGCTGTTTTTAGAAAAGGAGAAAACCAAATCTGTTTTCTTCAAATCTGTGCTTCAGCTCCCATACTGGAGAAGAGCATGTTGGAAGGTTGGAAGAGAAGTGCACTGCCTGTCATTAGGCCCAGCGGGTTGAGCGGTTGTGAAGCTGCTCGAGAGAGAGAGAGAGAGAGCGCCTTGTCTAAATGATTAATGTTGCGAGGTTGGGAGGCGGAGGCGGAGGCGGAGGAAGGCATATATGTAAGGTTATGTTTTAAGAATACAAAGTACAGTATTGCCTAATTCAAAAAGTATCAAAGTAAAATCCACAGAGGCACTTTAAAGCTAAATTAAGATTCACTCTCAGTTGTTTTTTTACCAAACTAACAAAGAAGATCTGAAAAACAACAGAATGACAACAGTGTCATTTACATGCAAAACATTCACCTTTATTAACTATCCAGAGGGATTTAATTAGTTTGAAGCAACCACTTTGCAGTTTCAAAAAGCATGCTTTTAATCAGATATGACTGAAGTACACTAAAAGTGGTAAGAACTAGAATCATGAACATATTTTACAATGCAACTCTGGCATGTTCACACTTTCAAAAATCAAATCAAAACATTATCAAAGCAAGAATTCTGACAATGACGTAGCATTGTGACAGTGTTTTGTTTCCCGTTTTGTTGCTTTATTCATTTGTCAGTCAAAACACCATGAATTCAGATTCAAATGAACAGTACTTTCAGTATAAACAGGAAAACAAAACTTTGCGTAAAGTCAAACTCAGTCAATAGGAGAACACATCATTATTCAACATGGGTTGAATGTTTGAACATTTCTGGCCATTATAATCAACAACATTCCAAGTTAGGAGTGTCAGCACATGCCGTGGGAAAAATAGCATATCATTTTGGGAGCAATAAAAATATGTTGTGCACTTACAAAAGTTGAGCGGATGTTAATGACCATTCAAAGTCTTGAATGCCCTTTTTAAATTGTATTTTCTGTGCCCAAGAGATAAACTTGTACAAGTGAGCCTGGATCTGTGCGCAATAAATCTTGGCGCTTTGCAAAGATATTACTACAGCAGTTTATGCACAGTGGAGACTAACTCTGATTTACCATGTACTAGCTGATAACATGTAATCTGGTTCAGAGTGAACTTGGCTATTGAACTTAAATTTTCATATAAATCGTCATGTAAGGGCAATAAATCTTCAATGTCCTTAAATATAAATCATGTCAGAGAGAGTTATAATGCGGGAAATAACTGGTCAGTGACAGAACAAGTACATATTTTGTGGAGAATTTGCATTTCACATATCCAAGAGGATTCAGTCATTTCCACCATTGATGTGAATCGTGCTTTAGTGCTGGAGAACCTGGTTGTTGGACTTCCTGTAGTTTCACCAGTGGCTCTGGGCACAGTTCATACCAGACATTGATGGTCTCTCATAGTGGTATTGGAATTTTAATGGCACTGGAGGATCCACTGTGCTGCCACTAATCACAAAGGGCTGGTTACCTGTTTCCAGGTAGGAGTAAGAGGACTTAGCCATTGACTTTTCTTTGTGATCTTTCTTATACTTCATACGACGGTTTTGGAACCAGATTTTAATCTGGCGGTCAGTGAGCTTCAGCAGCGCAGCCATTTCAAGTCTCCGGTTGCGGCACAGGTAAGCGCTGAAGTGAAACTCCTTCTCCAGCTCGAGCAGCTGGGAGGAGGTGAACGCTGCACGTGCCCGTTTACTATTAGAACAGCCGCTATCCTGTACATCACCACTGCTGTACCTGGAATCACCTGGAAAGTATGCAGATATATAGAAATGTTAAAGTACATCAAGTCTAAGATCTGTCAAGGTTTAGATAGTGAACAGAACTCTCTTCCCAAAGTATTAACCATGTTGCATAGCATAATACCAGAGCAAATCTCTCTGATGCCTAAACTGTGATGATGAAAATGTAGCATGACATCCTTGAACATGCTCAGCTGCAAGTTTAAACCCCCAGTGATAAATCAGTGTACTGAGAATCCAGCACACTGTCTGTGGGCAGACCACTGTTGGTAGACTAATCACTAAGTTAATTATCCATTTCATATGATTTCTACTGTGATTAGATTCCTAATGATTGTGTGTGTATTGTTTTTTTTCACCCATTGTCCTTCCTATCAACAAAAGTTCTTCAAGAAGTGACCTCTCAATGCCATAATGTTATTACTGCACATATAAGCTGAAAATCACAATTATATATATATATATACCACATATATAACATGTAATTAATTGTTGTATATGTGTGGAGAATGTTCACTAGTGTAAATGTATGATTTTGCTTAGGTTAAAATAAGTGAAGCAGTCTTATCTGTGTGACCCAGAAAAGCATAGCCTCAGATAATATAAAAATTTCACTGTATACTTTTTTTATTATTCCGCTCCTTAGTAAAAGTTTAAACTTAATCAAGTTCACAGAACAACTGGCTGTCTCTAGAAAATATTACTTTTCTTAGAAGTTCTCTTCTTTTTTTCCCCTTTTATGCAGCTTATGCATTTTTAACTTGAGAAGAAGATATTTTCATACAGTGTAAGTGCTGTTAGACAAAAATTACTATACTTAAAATATATACATTGTAATTGTGTTTTTGTCAATGAGTAATAAGCATACAATAATATTTGCCCCATCTTGTTTTTTGTTTGTTTTTGTTTTTGCCCCATCCATGTGTCCACATTGACCTTGATGGACTGGACTGATAAAAAAAATATATGGATTAATTACCTTAACTGAACACAATAAAACTTTAGTTTGAGACACATTTGTTTTCTTCTTACATGGATGTTTACTGTAAATGAGCAGTCTTTATTAGTCAAGATTGAAATGTTGCCTGTAATTAGGGGTTCATTTTCTATTTAAGAAGGAAGGAAAATAATTGATTAATAATTGATTAATAACTGTAGTTCTCAATTATGTCAGTCATTGACATCAGTGTCTAAGTGACAAATCACATTAACATAGAACCAAATCTGACCCAGCTGTTATTCATTATCGACTAAAATATGACTGACTGATTAGATTAAGTGGTTATTTCTAAGCAATACAAATCAATATACCTCATTTAGTCCAAAAACGAGTTCTCTCACCTGATTCCACGACGTTAATGGAGCTGAAGCTTATAGGTGTATGTATCTCTCTCATCCAAGGGTACTTCTTGGTTGAAAAGCAGGAAGTTGACAGCTTGCACCCCTCGTCTCTTTCCGTTGCATTCGCCCGGTCCAAGGATTTTGTCGTTTCATTCGCGGAGTGGCTGACACCAGCAGAGGATGAATAGGGATGTTGAGAGAGTTTTTGAAAGTTCCACATATGGCCTTCATAATGTTTTGATGAATTTTCTTCAGCATGTTGTCTCCACGCAAAACTGCTCTTCTGCAGAGCACAAGGGGAGAAATGTGGCTCCATAGAACAAACATGAGATTTATTGCAACATATCTTGTTCAAGTAAGCATTGTTAACATGAAATTCGTGAAACGAATTCTTGTGCATCTCTAACCGCCCTAATCACTCCGGTTGGATAATTGATCACACAAGGTGTAGGAAAGACATTAAAGTACACTCACTGCCGTCTTTAATTGTTTTCCAACAAGGGTAAACAATGTAGTCACGTGATGGCCTCCTCCAATAGCCTCGCGCACTGGCTGTTTGAGTTGTAAAGTGCTGGAAAGCAACCAAACGAGGATTCCGTTTTCCTCCGCATTCTTCAACTATTTTGCAATTTCGAATGATTATCCTGTGGACAGACGAAAAGCCATGAGCAGGGCGCATACATTACCCTGTTACCGTGCTGACAGAGTTGAGAGAGCGTGATTTGGGAGGTGGGAGGGTTGAAAGAGACCCATTTGGACAGAGAAAAGACATGCATGTCTGGGATCGCGTCTCCTTAGTTTTGCCACAATGGATTGCAGAATACAGACTTCATTTCGGTGAAAACGTTTTATAATACAATGTTTGAAACCTTGACTAACTTATCAGTCCTCTTGTGGTAGGTATTATATAATAATCGACTTATTTGCCTTATAGTTAAATAACTGTTCCTGTAACGCTTTACAGTTGTAACAACAGCTCCATACATGTATTGATTTTTTTTAAATATATATATATATTTAAAATCTTCTTAATCCTTCGTAAAACAGCCATGTAGATGTTTTAGCAGTGCTTTTTATTAATAAAATATTTCAGTAACATACATTGTTTGTCTTTCTCCATCGTCATGTTTTTTGTAAAAAAAAAAAAAAAAAAAAAAAAAAAAAAAAAAAAAAAAAAGGATAAACAACGTTTCTGAGCTGTGAAAGAAAAACTGCAACACACGTTAAATGGATCTGTCGAATACTAATGGCGTTTCTATTCAATTTCCGACGTGTGTTGAGATTTCTGCGCATTTTTACCTGGTGAAAAAGACATCAAGAGAATCAATGGGTGTGGTCAAACAAAGGGATTTTGAATGTCAGTGCTGTACTGACAATGCACGTCAAAAATAATCTTAAGTGCAATGATAAGAGTTTCGTTTTTCCATTCACTGGCAGTGTAAGGAAATAGTCGCCGAGGTGGCTATTTGCTCGTCTCGGGTAACCAAAGAAATACGTTCAAGTTCATCGCCTGTAGTAGCTAATCGCATTGTCTACTATTTAAAACAACGTCCTGATGAACAAAGAGCAGGAACAGCCCGGATTTGGCGTAAGCACGACATTTTAGGGCAATGGTGAAGTCTTTAGAAACTTGTTGGAGTCGGGTAACTTGTTGTTTTTAACGTCATTTTAAATAACTACAGTTTGATCACAAAACCTTTATATTCGCAACAGAATTAGCCTTTGTCCTCTGACGTCATGAAGCTAAGCTGGTGGAGGGAAGGGGGTCATTGCTACAAAACGCTATTTAGCGCTCAACCTGTCCAGATCACTGTTTTTCCCAGACACCTATCGACACAGTAGGATTCGTTTTTAGCCAATTGCTAATTATAACGACTGCTTGTCGACAACATTATACATAAAGCAGTCACGCTGAAGTAAGTTAGTATCCCCAGTCTGAAATGAACATAAAAGACATCACCCTTCCTTAGGCTACATGAAGCTAAGCTGGTGGAGGGAAGGGGGTCATTGCTACAAAACGTTATTTAGCGCTCAACCTGTCCAGATCGCTGTTTTTCCCATACACCTATCGACACAGTAGGATTCGTTTTTAGCCAATTGCTAATTATAACGACTGCTTGTCGACAACATTATACATAAAGCAGTCACGCTGAAGTAAGTTAGTATCCCCAGTCTGAAATGAACATAAAAGACATCACCCTTCCTTAGGCTACATAAGCTGTGGACAGCGGTTGTCTCGCACAAGTGATTAATTGTGCACAAGGACTGAAAACCAGTCCCTTTTCATTTACTCTCCACAGTGTCTTGTTTGAGTATTTACTCAGACACTCAGTACTGTCAATAACATGTCTAACGTATTTTCGAAGACAAAGACTGATAGCCTCAGCGATTCACTCTTTGTCTTGCAGGGATTTTTTATTTGTATTTATTTACTTTATTCAGAGAATGCTTATAATAATACACAGCTCTCAATGAGTTTCTGAAACGCAAAGAAAGGCCTGCCAGTATGGGCAGGTATGTTTTTGATTTGAATAATGGTCGTGTCAGTGCTCACACATATTAAGATAACTTTGGACTGCATTAAAACAATGACGTGTAAAATGGCGGTAACAATGATAGCAATTTAAAAGCCTTGTATTTCATTTCGGATGGTTTAACTAGTCAAATCATAACCATTCATGTACTGTTTATTAAAGAAGAATATCAAGGAGCCATGGGGCTATCCTCTTCGGTTGTAAGGCTAAAATCAATCTTTTCCTAAAAACGATTTGTTATTTTGAGTTCAGTGAATTGCTGTCACAAGCCTTGTCAAATAGAAGCATTCACTATGCATATTACAAGTACGGCTTCTGCCGAGCTGCAGCGCTATTAACATGAAATAGCCTATTACTGCGCCCGATTGTGCAAGGAATGCAAGTGTACTCATTCCATAATCACATATGAATTAGATATTCAATAAATGCTATTTAAACAATTTCGATGCATTTTTTATTTTATTACTATTAATATTTTTGGAAGTGGTGGAGGAAGCTATTGGGGAGTTTATTATTATTCTGCAGGTTTTATGGTCCCCCTTGCACCTTTCATATATTTCAAACTCTTCCCTTATTGTTTGAAAGTCGCCTGTGATCTTGGGAATTTTCTAATTAAAGTAAGTTTGTTCCCTTGTCTCATGCCGCTGAGTCCGCTGAGTCAATCTGAAAAGGAATCTTTGATGTAGTGGCTCAGCAAGACCATAACTCAGCGCCTCCGCCGCCTCCGCCGGATTCTCAGTGAACTCTGTTTGAACCACGTTGCTGGCAATAAATCATTTTTCTTTCTCTCACAAAAGCGCGCCGGTCGCTCTGGGTGTCAACCATTTTATAATTCCTCCCTACCTTCTGCGCTCTTGTGGTTGCTGACACAAACAGCTGCATAAAACATCGATAATAACATCGCTTAACCATTTCATGCAAAAACAGGCCCTCTAAAGAGAATAAAAACGGCAATGAGGCAAACGCTGGAAATAATAAACAAATTAATGCAATGTACAAAGCGCCGGTGCATACAGCTGTCTGTTGCTTTCTCTACCACTCCAACGCTTGAGGACATAGCCTAAACATTTTGGAGAGAAAAAAAAA